GAAGCAGGTTCCTCTGTCACTAATCCCTCGCCTCGGTCGACTATAGTAGCTAAAGTATTTTTCCAGGGAGCAACATACTTCTTTCGAGCTGGTAGAGTTGACCGGGTACAGTTTTACAAACTTCGTAAATGCGTCTATCATAACAAGAATATGTTTTCGCTTTGACCTGAGGGCGGGCAGCGGTCCGAAGTGGCCAAGGTGAATGGTGTAGAATGGTATTGGCCTTTTTGGAATACTAAACATGTTATGTTCGTTAGAGCGGGCTGGTGCTGAATAAATACTGCATTTTATACAATTTTGTATGAATCGGTTTATCCTTTCTTTCATGTGTTCGAACCAACAGGCCTTACGGATTTGCTCGTAGCATTTTTCTACACCTAGATGACCGATCTTCTCGTGTATCATACGAATTACGTTTTCTTGCATTTCCCCCGGGACACATAGCAACGGACTAGACCCCTGGGTTTTCTTCAAAACTAAGCCGTCCTGAAGCTCGTAGCCTTGTACCTCCCCCTCCTCTAACTTGCCCATCAATTCTCTAAGTTTTTCGACTCTGTTTTGGGCGACCTGTATGTGAAGGTCTAGGTCATTTTGGTCAACAGCCGCGATTAGAGCTAGTTTCCGCGATTCCCCCTCGTTGTCGCCCCCCTCACCCTCCTTTTCTAACTTATTCCCTAATCTGTGGCATTCGGATTGATGTGGCAGCGGACCTCGGACCCAGGGTTGCTCAGATGTATCACTCACATAGGGCTTTTGTTTAACAGGTTCTACCGGGTCTTCAACTTGCGTGTTCGTCGTGGGGGGAGGAGACGGGTGTCGACTTAAGGCGTCAACATGACCGAGTGATATAGCACTTCTGTGCTGAATTGAATAATTGAAGTTTTCCAGCTCTAACGCCCATCTTGCTATCCGCGGGTTGACTTGTCTCTCGCACAATATTAGGGTAAGCGAGTTGCAGTCGGTAATAATTTTGAACGGGATTCCCTCTAGATAAATTCTAAACCGTCGAAGTGCGTAATGGAAATGGTTTCCAGCTCGAAGCTATGGTATCGTGATTCGGCTGCCGTGGCGGTCTTCGAGAAGTAAGCTACTGGATGGAACCTGCCATCATCTTGTTTTTGCATAAGGGTAGAGCCGAACCCGTTACTACGTACGTCACAGTGAAGTTCTGTTTCCGTCTTTATATATTTATATATTGCCAATATAGGGGCCGAGACAAGCTGGTTCTTGAGCTCGTTAAAAGATTGCATGCATTCGTTTGAGAAAGAGAAGGTATTTTCCTTCCGAAGCAAGTCTAAAAGTGGCTTAGCCGTTTTTGAGAATGCTGGCACGAATTTGCGGATATAAGAAAAAAGTCCAATACATTATCTGAGCTCTTTCTGATTCCTGGGGGCAGGGTAATTGGCTATTGCTCTAATATGCGAGTCACATGGCTGTATTCCCAAGGGGCTTACCGAATAACCCAAGTATTCAATTTTTTGGTAGCCGAACTTGCACTTCTTCAATTTAAGCTCTAATTGCCTTTCCGTAGCCCTTTGTAACACCTCCTTTAAACATTCGATATGACTCTTGAAGTCGCGGGAAGCGATTAGTATGTCATCAATACATACTATGATCTTGCTTTCATCTATAAAGTCCCTAAAAATGTTATAGACGAACCTCTGAAAATTTGCCGGGGCGTTTTTCAAACCAAACGGCATTCTTAGCTACTCGAACTGTCCATGTGGTGTGACAAATGAGGTCAATGGTATTGAGGTTTCATCCATTACTAGTTGGTTGAATCCGTCTTTCAAGTCTAACAGCGTGAACCATCTTTTCCTCGACATATAGTCTACGCAATCTTCGATTAGGGGTAGTTTGAAGTTATCCCGTACCGTCTTCTTGTTTAGGGCCCTATAGTCTACGCACATGCGGGTATCACCGCTCTTCTTTTCAGTAACACTATTGCTGACGCATAAGGGGAGCTACTGGGTCTAATTATTTGCCGTTCCTTTAAATCGTTCGTCATCTTCTTAACTTCTTCTCGGTCTTGAACGGATAAACGCCGCGGCAAGCAGTGGAAGGGTGTGTAATCTGTTAGCCGGATTTTTATTTTGTAATCATAGGGGCATA